CTGCGTGACAGACTATACATCAACTTATCACATGACCGGTTTTGGCTCCTCGGCATCACGAGGCAGTCGAGGCTACATCGCAGCTTACGAGTCCTTTCTCTCTTTCTTCCTACAAAACTGTTCACAGCTAAAAAGTTAGACGAGAAAATCAACGCGAGGATGCTGATATTGAGAAGCAAGTATCCAGACCTGCAGATCCCTGATAACATATCATGGCCGGATTTCGTGTTCTCGAAGTTTGACAAATATGGAGACAGGGCAGCTATTGTAAGTATTCTAAGAGAATTTGAATTAGTTATACTTATAGGTAAGGAATTCCAAACGCGAGGGCCAGTGAATTTTATGGACCGTAGGCCATCTTGAGTAGTATTAACTGAGGGTACATATAGATTTCTGTTACATGATTGCCTCAATGAATAGGAATGAACAGAGAATGTAAATTTGAAATATTTACTGAAACAAAATTAATATTTTGCAGTGTAAGGAGAAGTGAAAACACAATGATGTCAATACCTTGCAATAGCCAAATGAAATGATATTTTCTTAGAAATAAAGTTAACAGAACATGTTACATTTGTACTATATTCCTTGACTGAAAATGCTAATTACAGTTACGAGGCAATGGCAATGATGGGATCGGCCACAAATGTTAAATATACAGACTTGTCTAACATGATTGATGAGATCTGTCAAAGGTTTGTAATTCTTTCAACTACCAAGTCAATGTTTGGTGCATAAACACAATGGTGTTTATGTCACAAAATACTAAGCAATGCATACATACAAACAGGGTAAAACATCGGTGAGGGTATCCACATGTGTCATGTGGTACTGGGACAAAGTGTGGTCAGAATTATAACCTGGTCTCTTTGTAATAACCAGCTCAAAGTTAATCAAGTTGATATGTTTCTTTGCAGACACAGTAAGGGTTTCCATCATCCTATTTTGGATTCTCTTAAATCAAGCTTCAGGTATGTGAGTCAGATGCGCCTTTTGTAGTTTATTTTCACTGCAGCATATGTAAGACTCTGATAGTGGGTACATTGTGTGATGTTGCTATTGAACAATAATTATTCCCCAAAGGCAAAGTAATTATTGTTGAATAATCCCCAAGAGATATGATGCAATCCTCATCAAATCATGGTGCATGCATCTCTATAATCACTAGTCAGAACAATTACTCTAGCATGGTAAGTATTATTAAAAATTCTAAATCTTTGCTATGAAAGAAACAAAAAAAGTTACTTGACGTGACATAACAAGTGTCTGTATCCATACATTCACCATGTGGTGGCCGGGTCATCTGTATTTTTGTGACAGTACCATTTGCCATAATTGTATTTGCCAGTTTGGCTTTTATATATGAGATTTCTTGCCATTCCACATTCACCAGGTATATAAAATGAAGGTTCTTAAGCTTGGCTTGCTTGACTTGAACCAATGCTGTCAAGCATTAAATGAGGTGACCACAGCATCAGGGCCAACCTGCGGACCTCCTGGCTCATGTCTTTCTCAGGAAACCCTCATAGCATTTAAATCATGTTTACTATATTTGCACCTCACATTTATCTATCCCCAACTTTAAACATTAATTAATTAACAAGTCAAACTTTGAAAGCTCATCAAGATTTTGTATTTCCTCATCTAGTTATGAAGTGGAAATTTTATCCAATTTGTTAAAAGCTCAGTGCGACATGGCAGACTGGAAATTTCTCCCATCCCTTCTTCACCTTCATGAAAGCTATGTCAAATTGTCCTCTTGGTGTCAGTTTCTCCCACCAGGAGAGGTTAGTGTTTTTAAAACTTGTTACGTCTCTTTAAATCTTTAACTCCCAAGATCTGATTTTTAATTCTCCCCTCCAGCTGTCCTCTTCTCATGTAAATTGGGTAAGAGAATTTGGTGAAGTAAATCAAGATAACAACTCAACCTATTCGCTCCGATGAAGGGCTAACGCTCAAAACGTCAGCTTTTATAATCATTACGGTGGCCAATTTACCATGTCAACTTTGTTGATATATTCAAATTATTTTGTTACCCCCACCGATGCAGCCCCAAACAGTTTCTTTAGAAACTATCAGCCTTTAATTCTACCTCAGTTAAGTTTGAGTATTCTCATTACCTGTTTTCTGGATAAAGTATGGATGTTATAGTGAGAAGTTACTTGTTAATCACTTCACGGAGTTTGAGGGTTAAAAGTATTGGATTTAAAGCTAACAACAGTTGATCTTCATGGCCATTGACAATTCAAATTGTTTTAATACTGCTGGTGAAGCTCCAAAGATCAGGGTATATGCTTGAAGGGCCATTGAACCAGTTTGAGTCCAAAGAAATATGATCACTATTGCAGGGTAATTATTCCTTAGCTTGATAGGAGGCCATCATTATTAATAGTGCAAGACAAGCAATTATTTGCTGGTGAGCAGGTCTGAGATGGTTAGGTGCCAGTGAATTATTATTATTAGTAGTGCCAAGGGTCTGGTACTACAGTACAATAATGACTGTCCTACAGTGTACCTCCAACAGGCCTCTTGCTGGCTTGCTTTGCTCTAGAACTCGGATTTGCTCTTGGGTGAAGAAACACCTGTGTTGTGGATGGTTTGATTTAGGCCTGTTCTTATGCTGACCATTTCTTGACTATAAAACAAACGATTGATTCTGTATCGACAACCTCCCAGCTATCAACTTCACTCGCAAGAAAGAAGTCAATATTCAGCAGCACTCCAAAGAAACATGTTGAGGCACCTTTTCTTTATCAGTGGCTTGGAAAACTGCAGGATGCATTAGTTTCAAAGGTAAAAATGCCACATTCATGTACATGTTATCTGTCTTTGTAACTCATATTGAGATATAGGGTTCAAAAAATGATGATGTCAATAATGATGATGATATTAGTGATCACTGTATAAGTTTCATTTTTTCTTAACCCTTAATAGTGCAGCATCAGTCTGCATATTCTCCATACGTTTCTCTGTACATCAGTCTGCATATTCTCCATACTGTTCCCTATACATTACCTAAGGACCTTTTCACCCTAACATCAGTCTGCATATTCTCCATACTGTTCTCTATACATTACCTAAGGACCTTTTCACCCTAACATCAGTCTGCATATTCTCCATACTGTTCTCTGTACATTTCCCAAGGCACTGACAGGAGTATTATTTTGTGCATCAATCAAGAGCTTCCTTAGCTAACGATCATTTCCTCTTGGCCCTCATGCTTTATTCGCAAGTGATAATGTAAGGTGAATTTTGGTGCTCGTCACTCTTGTTGCTTAAAGGGTCAATATAATGTGCCCTGGATGCAAATCATTCATTAAACCACGTTAAACTATAAATTCATATTTGTCTCTTTTGCCATTTAACTTCCAAGATCTGATTGTTGATTCTCCCCTTTAGCTGCTACACATTTTGTTGTAAATTAGTTTCAAGAATTTAGTGTTAGATCAAGATACACAGTAACTGTTAGTAATAACTTCTACCTGATATTAGTTTGAATATTCTCATTACCTGTTTGCTGGATAATGTGGGGTTATTACACGACTCAGGCAGTCAGAGGGCCAATAACTAAAATCAACCAATCAAAATCCTCTATTGCCGGTCAATATTCTCTCAGTATTGGACCGGGCACTGTCCCGAATGGTCCCGAATGATACCACACTAAGCCTTGTGTCCCTTTGAACTTCAGTCATATAATAAATCTCTTATTAACCAAGCTTGCCCAGGACCATACTGGAAGAATATCTTCCCTCGGTCTTTTTTGTAGGGACCTCGTTGCACTCCGTCCTTACTGTCAAGACCTCAGGCCGATATTCTCCCAGTACGGCTCTCGCGCTTGGTTAATAAGATATAAATTTAAAGGGAGAAGTTACATTTTAATCACTTTTGGAAGTGAAAGGGTTAAACCACATGTTGCAGTAATATATAATTTATATATATATTTTTTAATTGAGTTTCATATTGACAAACAAATGACAATTACATCAATCGATTGATCAATCTGAGGTAGGCTTAAAACAAAATACAAGACTCCTTACAAATAAGCCACCTTTTATCACAACATAAAATTTAAAAAAAAAATCTTAAACTTAGGCTATTTTCAAAGTTACTCTACTTATGACACACTTTTACTACTTTTTTTCAGTTCACTCTTTATTTCTACAACATACTTGAAAGACAAACCACACCAATCGACATGAAGTCAGTTATTTCACGGGCCAGTGCTGATTATGTCGGAAGGTAAGTGTTACATCATGCATTATGGTGGCCAATATGCCATTCATTATTGTGTTTACTGCTTTTGTACCTGCACCAAGTTCATGAGAAGATCTTTATTTTTTACCTGAGTGCTTTCACCCCCAAGATCTGAAAGCTAATTCTCCTAACTGGTGACCATACAAACCTTGGTTGCCTATTCCTGAGAATTCAGTGTTCTATCAAGACACTATCCCCTGGTTGATAATTTTCTTAATTCTCGTTCACTATCTTATTGACATTTTAATAAAAATTGTAAGGAGACTATATGTTGGTCATTCCAGGGGTGTGAAAGGGTCACTCCTTTGACGCCCCTAAGAATTACCAGCATCTAATTTCTCCTTACAATATCACCTGAGAATCACACATTATGGTCATGAGAATTAAGGAAATGATCACTGGCTAAAGAAGCTCTTGATTGACAATTGAAGTCTCCTTGTCAAGAGAAAAGGCATACTGGTGTTCTGATGTAGAGGTTTCGTTAAGCCTCTGTTTTGAAATCTTTGTGTTTTTTCAGGATCATGGCATTCATTCGTCGCTCAGATGCATTTAGTGTCAATATGTTACTGGATACTCATCAGTTGGAGCAGTACCAGGGACATGGATACCACCTTCCGTTTGATATTAAGGAGAAACCCTCTGGCTTGGGGGCTTTTCCTGCCATCTTTTCATTCCCTGGGGTAAGTAACATGTACCAGGGGGTATGGTCAATACTGGATTTGGTACTGGACCTTTGAATGTAAAATGCATAAGCAGATGAACAATTACATGTTGAATAAAGAGGTTTTCCTTGACTCTGGTATTGATTTTTGCCTTTCTCTCGGGTCCAGTCTTTCTCGTTCCTCCCCGAGAAGTGGGTTCAGGGAGGAGCACAGGCTCCGGTTCCTGAACAGCAGCTGGTAAATAAGCTTACTGATATCATTATGATATTTCTACGTAAAAACCAACATACTGTAATGGTTAGGAAGGGACTTTAAAGAACCGTTGCAATTCTTGCAAAGAGCTGAAACTTTGATAGATAGATAGATAGTTTATTTGAAAAAAATTGCAACCGAAGGTTGAATTACGTATTTATTTAATACAAATTTGGTCCTGCTGTTGTTGCCTGGCCTTGTTCTTTGTCGTACAGGCCCCCAGCTGTAAAAGCTCAACTGGACCAGCCTGTCTAAATGATGCAAACAAATGATTAATAAATGAGTGACAGCTCAGTTTGGATTTAGTTCAATAATCTTTGGATATTTGTCGTAAACTGCACCTATGCCTGTCCCTTAAAAAATTCAGAGATTAATTTACAAAACGTGATCAGAGGGGTAAAAGGGATTTTAAGAACAAAAGGGCTAACAAACTTTCTTTTTCTTTCTTTCTTGACAGGACCGGCCTGTAGGGCATTGGCCAAATATCGTGTCTATACTCCTTGATAAAGTTCATGAACTCAACACCATGGAGAAAATTGTGTTCTTCTTTGATAATGTATGCCTATTGCAAATGCATTTAGTAACTTCACCATCTAGATTTAACTTATTCTACCTGATTTCTACTCAAGTTTTTCATTTTCTTACTTGTCTGTTTGTTTACTTTTCAGCGTGTCCAGAGCACATATTTCTTGACCAGAGTGGATCCGCGCTTGACTCTGGTTGTTATATTCAACAGCAAAAGATCAGAGAAGGACTCTTATGTTACCACGTTTCTTACAGGTAAGTGAATGAACAGTGTGACTTGGTGGAAGCATTCATTCATGACAAACATTCCCCACTTGAAAAAACAGCCACCAAGTTGAATTCAGTTGATCCCGTAAACTAAAATGCATGGCCATTATTTGCCTTCTATTAAACTCTGGTGCTATGTTGGTGGGAGATTTTACATGATAAATTGAATCTAGTTGATAGTGTGACTTTGCAATCGTAAAAAAGTTCGGTAAAGCTGGAATTTTGAGTGGGAGCCTTTCTCCAGGGCAACTTGTTTGTCGATGACATAACTCTTTACAGTGGCCATTCACATTATTTATTAACTCAGTTGATAGACCAACTTATCTTGTATCACCCTTACAGATAATTTTCAGTAATTTTGCTACTATCAGCTGACCAGGAATCCCTGTGTTCTCAAACAGTCCTAGTTCTCCTCGGCAAACAATTTTGAGTCGAGCTGGGTTCTGCTGTAGTTTCTTTACCAGTTCTCCTCGGCAAACAATTTTGAGTCGAGCTGGGTTCTGCTGTAGTTTCTTTACCAGTTCTCCTTGGCAAACAATTTTGAGTCGAGCTGGGTTCTGCTGTAGTTTCTTTACCACTGAGCAGCGCTCCAATCCTCTCATCCATGTTACTAATTTATAGTTTTAGGTCACCACATGGCCACTTTTTGAGCTTGGAACTCTATTGATTAGTGAAAGTGTGAGTGGGTGTTAATAAAATTTTGGTTCTTGCTTCCAATGTAGAAACAGCGACCCTTCTGAGAAACACAAAAGTCTTCGCTATGCTTAAACAAGGGGGAAAGAATTGAACATAGAGAAATATCCTCAGTGAAGCTGTACTTCTACCACTTCAAGAAGAAATGGAGTACAGAAGTTGAAAGAAAAACTGAAAAGAAGACTTGATATCACATGTAGTTAAACAAAACATTGTTTTAAAATACCACTAAAGGAGAGACAATCGATTTATTGAAGTAACAAATTGATCTTGAATTTGAAGTAGTGTACATTTAATTTTGATAAGAAATCTGAGTCCATTAAATAGTGAAAAATGCTCTTCTTCCACCTAATTAAACCATTTACCCTGAGCTACCACGTTTGCCTTCATCTACCCAAAGTTAGCCTCGTTTACCATGTTAACCCACATCCACTCTTAGCTACCAAGTTTGCCCACAGCCACGTTCTACCACATTCATCAACGTCTACCCGAAGTTAACCTTGTCCCACCAGGACAAAAGACAAAGGTGTCCGGTTCGATCGCACCATGGTTAGATCGCTCCACTCGAAAGTTTGATAGCTCCATCAAATAAGTTACTTCGCTCCCAACTTAAGTTACTTCGCTCCCAACTTAAGTTACTTCGCTCCCAACTTAAGTTACTTCACTCCCAACTTAAGTTACTTCGCTCCCAACTTAAGTACTTCGCTGCATGTTGTAATGTGATGTATTACTTACAACTGATCTTTAAAGATTATAGGTGATGATGTGTCGGGCGACGATTCGAGTACATCGCATTCACTCTTTCCTTCAGATTAGCCACCGAGCTACCGATGTATGATGTATAGCGATGATGGAATAAATGATCGTGGAATAAATCGTAACGTTATGGTCTGAAGTGTATGGAAGTGTATGGAAGTGTATCGCCTTCACCACAAACTAACTTATCTACCGAGACTTGCAGGCCAAGATCTTCGATCTCTGGGATCAAATTATACGAGTCAAACCAGAAATCCGCCTGACAGCTACTCAGAGCCTGTTCGTTCCTGAATGGTCCAGTTTAGAGAGCAGCAGACAACCCAAACATCACAAACAAACGGCTCCTCTAGGAGCCACCAAATGAAATAAAGTAAATTACCAACAATGACTAGGATTGCTTTCGAAACGTCAAACTAAGACCCGAGCGAGACTGAGTTCGACTTCGGTTAAAAATGGCGAGTCTTTCTTCGTGTTACAACACTCTTTTTCGTCCTTCTTTCTTCTTATCAAGCTTCGACCTTGGATCTCTACATGGCGCGAAGTAACTTATGTTGGGAGGGAAGTAACTTAATTGATGGAGCGATCTAACTTTTGGTGGGAGCGTTCTTTCGATGGTGCGATCAAACCGTAATTCGAGACAAAATACACACTCTAGTTTTACAGGAATTCAAACTGTGTCAAACTCTAATCAGAGAAATCATGTTTGATGCGTTTAAAACGCACATTACTCTACACTTGAACTAAATAAAAGACCATAACGATCGACTCTGTCAATGCGTGCCTGTTACAATAATGATACATATCAGTGGAAATATAATTTAAATCAGAGGATACCGACAGCAATAGTGCATTCTCGTCTAGTAAACAATCTGATGTTGACCTTGTAAAGGACGGTCAACGTCTCTCGGCTCATAACACCATACCCTGTTTAGGACAGGTTTTGACCCTGTTTAGGACGGAGGCGTGTAAATTGTATACCCTGTTGAATACAGCGAGGCCAAAAAAATCCATGCCCTGTCCGGCGGCACGTCCCCGTATAGCCCAAATAAGGGAGTACCCCCCGGGGGCCTGATACGGGTTTTCCGAATCAATATGATACCAAGTGCGATACTGACGTTTTTCTCCGATATTAATATCGATATCGATACCGATAATGTGACGTCAGTGAATTGAATGGTAAGTCACGTGACTTGATTGACGAAATTATGGGGCTATCTCAGCTCAGATTGTCATGCGGTGTTCAGTACTCTATAGAAGAATTAACAAGACAGTAGGGACTTTACGCAGTCAGGACGGCAACGCCACGGAAGACGTCGATTAAAGAACGAGTTTCTAATTTTAGTTAGAATTTCGAAAATGGCTGCATGAGTTTACCGTCTCATAGGGCGCCAGACCTCAAACTCAACATAGCGCATAAAAGTAGCGTTGAGTTTCAAATGTAAATTAAAATAATTTGCCGCCGCGGTTTCGCTTCGCAGACGACGCAAATTTGAGTGATTTCACGTTGTTGTTTTGAAAGGATGGCTAAAAAATGTACAAAGTTTTAAAATGCACGTGCTGGGCTATTGTTCTGCCAATTAGATCTATTGTTTTTCCACGTTCTCGTTGCCGTAGCCGTCGTGGTTTGCTTAAAGTCCCTATTAAAACGTTTAAAACCGGATCAAAGACGTACTAAATCGGAACTCGCGGTTTTCGATCAGTTCACTCCACTGAGCCCTGATTCTTTTCGGCTTCCAAAGCCAAAACGCGCCAGATTTACCCTACTTCAAAACAAGACTTAGAAAAAAAAATCAGAACTTTGAAAATAAAGACTACTAATCTCTGAGGAATTCTATTCTTATCGCTATTGTTTTCATTAACAAAGACTGAATGCATAATTATGTATGGGGTTATATGGAATTCTTGCCCACAGATGTTACAGATATTAAGAGGGACATTGAACTGGTAGCTGCCTGGTTGCGAAATAAAAGGGTTGCCTTCTTTTCTACTCCTAAAGTATTGGATCTCGATCAGTTCCGAACCTATGTAGGCTGCGTCGGTGGGAGTAACGAAATAATTTGGATATATCAACATAGTTCAAGTGGTAAATTGGCCACCGTAACGATTACAAAAGCTGACGTTTCGAGCGTTAGCCCTTCGTCGGAGCGAAAAATAAGTTTTGGTCTTTCCTTTGCCATTACACATTTGAATTTCAGAAAAGGTACACAGTGATTTTACTCGATGTTAGGAGTACCTTTAGCTCCTAGGTGACAAGTCATTGACTAGTTGGGTTTGGACCTGAGGGAATCCTTCTCATACAAAGCCTAGTGAAGCCCACCAACCCTCTCCCAATTAGAATGTAATAAAGACTCCAGGACAACTATCAGGTTAGCAAGGTTGGTGTAAAGTAGATAGAAGTTTCAACATTTGAAGTTATAAATTATACAAACTAGACAGATGCAAAGCAATGAATAAAAGCTTACTTCATTTTTTTCCGTGCAGTAATGGATGATTACTTTGGATTCATAACTAGCCCCAACCAGCACAACTTATGACTCTTTCAATCCCCAACCTCATTCCCAGGGCCTTCTCCCTTAGTTGGGGGTCGAAAATGCCCTGGGAACGAAGTTGTTCAATCCCAAGATCTTCTCACCGTCTCCCATACAATTCTTATGATGTTAGTTTGGGGAATTTTATTTAATGGATCAATTGAGGAACCTATATATAACCCCCAAACTGATATTTCTCTTTATTCTCATCACTTGTCTGCCTGATATTGCACTGATTTTGTTAGGAGAAGCTGTGTCAGGTCACTCCTGAAAATGAAAGGGTTATGGAGAGGTATATTGACTAAACATTGATTCATTTCTCATTTTCCCAGCATACATTGGTTGGGTTTCCTGTGACCTGGTATGGTCTCCCATAGCTTTCCCAAGAAACAGTGCAAATTTTGTAACCTCACCACTTTGGATATTGATTACATAGAGACAACATTGACTGAACTAGATATTACTAGGGTTCAAAATTATTTTGCTCGTATACTTCTTCTTGATACTTGCAGCAACTCAGCATTTACAATTATTATATTCTTATCAAAATAGCGTTTCTCATCGTTATTTTCAGCATAAAAGCTTGGTAAAATTTTCCTCATCGTAACGTTTCCATCCCTTTCGGGACTACCCAATACTTGTCACGGTTTAAACTTTGTATAACACGCAAAAACAGTTACCGGAGAGAAATGTTGGCCATTTCTCTTGAAGTTTTTTAAAAAGATGTACACAAACCATGCTAGTTCTTCAAAATCTAGTGAAGTAGGCCTTCAGGAAGCGTGTTGCGTGATGGCTGTGAAGAGCGTGTTGCGTGATG